TCCTAATCTTAACCAGTTTGTGCATGCAAAGCTCTGATCGTTGACGCGCTCCAGACATCTGCGTCCTGAGCACCGCCAAAGCAGGTGTCACCACCTCAAAAACAAATTAAACACGCGATCGTTCATGTCGGCTCATTTCCTTTAATGTTTTCTGTCTGTTATTTGTGCCTGATGCGTTTCGCTGCTGCGGAGCGAGGTGCATCACCTGTTTTGTTCTCCGGTGACGCGCCCCCAAGATTCCATTATCTCCGCTCCGCTCCGCTCCGGCACGAACTCCGCAGCAAAAATGTTCCCGTTGTAGTCGGCCGGCGTGCTGCGGCACTCCGCTGTTTTTGCGGTTGGTAGATCTTTTAGAACTGCAGTTCAAAGGTAACTCATGAGGTGAATATATATGAACCCAGGTAGCAGTTTTTCTTTAGGATTGAGAGGAGATGCAGGAAGATAATAAACAGGCAGGACAGAAAAATAGTCAAATAAAAACAAGTTAGTTTTTGTACCTGGTGGTTGCAACAAACAGACACCATTGAAGGTAATCAGAAGTGAGGAACAGAAAATGAAATAATTATTTTAATGTTTAGAGCAGCAGGAACTCTGAGAGGCTGCAGGCCATCAGTTTGCTGCTGCTGCGCAGGGGGAGGGGGGAGAGGACTGAAGTAGGATGCAGAAACTACTGTTGTTAAAAGAGATGTTAGAACATGTGGGCGCAATTTTAATTGTCAAAAACTCCAGTGAACCTACCGACCCCCCCGCCGCTTCAGGTTTATAACGTCATCAGTGACTAGTCGAAGTCGACTCGATTTTCATTACTTGACTGTCGACTTTTAAAAAAATTAAGTCATGCAACCCCTAGAAGGTACAGGTTTTCAAAATGTTCATTTGTTGTACAAGTACACACCTAGTTATAAAAAACAAGATACGGTAGGTAGGTAGGTAGATGGATGGATGGATGGATGGATGGATGGATGGATGGATGGATGGATGGATGGATGGATGGATGGATGGATGGATTACTGCCCCGAGTGCCCTGATGACCACGGGCACCACTTTTGTCTTCACTCTCCAGGCTTTCTCAAGTTCATCTTTGAGGCCCTGGTACTTCTCTAATTTCTCATGTTCCTTTTTCACTGATGTGGCCATCACTTGGTATTGCCACATCAACCCCAACAGCTGTCCACTGTTGTCCACCATATATACATATACTGTATACTGTGTGTGTGCGTGTGTGTGTGTATGTGTGTATACATATATATGTGTGTATATATATATGTATATATATATATATATATATATATATATATATATATATATATATATATATACCGTCATCCGACACATCAAAAGGGGAAGGCAGTGTGCTACCAACACTGTTTATATTGAGGACAGTGTGCTGCTGACCTCGACTCGAGACATTGTGGATTGGTGGGCAGAGTACTTCGGAGACCTGTTCAATCCCCCTGGCATGTCTTCTAGTGAGGAAGCAGGGTCCGAGCACTTTCTCTCCAGCCTCTGGTGCTGAGGTCACTGGGATGGTCAAAAAGCTCCTTGGTGGCAAGGCTCCAGGAATGGATTAGGTCTGTCCAGAGTTCCTTAAGGCTCTGGATGTTGTAGGGTTGTGTTGGCTGATGCAGCTCAGCAATATCGAGTGGACATTGGGGGCAGTCCTACTGAAATGGCAGACTGGGGTGGTGGTCCCTCTATTTAAAAAGGGGGGCCGCAGGGTGTGTTCCAACTACAGGGGGATCACACTCCTGAGCCTCACTGGTAAGGTCTATTCCAGGGTTCTGGAGAGGAGAGTTCCAGCAGATTGTTGAACCTCAGATTTGGGGAGATCAATGTTGTTTTCGTCCTCGCTGCGGAACACTGGACCAGCTCTATACCCTTAGGGGGATCCTGGAGGGTGTGTGGGAATTTGCCCAACCAATCTAAATGTGTTTTGTAGATTTGGAGAAAGCGTTACACCACGTCCATCGGGAGACCCTTTGGGGGGTACTTTGGGAGTACCGGCCCTCTGATATGGGCTGTTTGGTCCCTGTATGACCGGTGTCAGAGCTTGGTCCGCATTGCCGACAGTAAGTTGGGCTCATTTCCAGTGAGTTGGACTCTGCCCAGACTGCCCTTTGTCACCGATTCTGTTCGTAACTTTTATGGACAGGATTTCTGGGTGAAGCCAAGGTGTTGAGGGGATCTGTTTTGGTGGCATGAGGATTGAGTCTCTGCTTTTTGCAGATGATGTGGTATTGTTGGCTTCATCCAACACATTCTCACACCCTAAGCGTCAAAAACAAACGCTTGGTCAGCCACCCTCCGCCTCAGACCCCAGACGCCAAAAGTGCCCTTTTTCGTTACTTATGTGTGAAAAGGGGTTTTTCCCTTTTCTAACTGCAGATCCCAATGCAGCGTAAAACTGACGCGATGGGATATCTGCTGATGCAGCACCGAACCAGCTCATTTAACCGCACCTAAACCTTAACGTTTCACTATTTCTAACCTTCCCCTCTCCCTCATCCTAACCTTAACCCTCTTGCTGCCTAAAACGTTGCTCTCACTGTGATCAAGCGTTTGTTTCCCATGCATTCTGACTATGAATTTTCGTATTTGCCGCCCAAGGGGAACGTTAGAGCATACCATCTGGTGAGGCGGAGGTTACAAATACCCTCTGCTTTTAACCTCCACCTTGTTAGTTGAACCCACCCCCCCGCGTTGGCTTGGTCCAAACGCGACCAATGACGAGGCGGCTCCCGCCGTTCACTTCATAGAGACGGCTTTAGACGGACCAACACATCACTAATGTGTTCGCTAGCTAGATGGTTAAGGTTAGGATAGGGGTGAGAGGAAGGTTAAATAAGAGGATAAGGTTAAGGTGAGGTACAATGAACTTGTTTGATGCCCTGGCTGCGGACATCCCATCACATCAGTTTTACGCTGCATTGGGATCTGCAGTCAGAAAAGGGAAAAACCCTTTTCACACATAAGTAATGAAAAAGGGCACTTTTGGCATCAGGGGTCTGAGGCGGAGGGTGGCTGACCAAGCGTTTGTTTTTGACGCGCTGGGAGCGAGAATGTGTTGCTTGATCAGAATGTGATCTCCGGCTCTCATTGGAGCGGTTCATAGTCAGGTGTGAAGCAGCTGGGATGAGAATCAGCTTCTCTAAATCTGAGACCATGGTCTTGATTCGGAAAAGGGTAGAATGCCCTTTCCAGGTCAGGGACGAGATCTTGCCTCAAGTGGAGGAGTTTAAGTATCTCGGGGTCTTGTTCACGAGTGAGGGAAAGATGGAGCACAAGATCGACAGGCGGATTGGTGCTGTGTCTGCAGTGATGCGGGCGTTGTACCGGTCTGTTGTGGTGAAGAGAGAGCTGAGCCAGAAGGCAAAGCTCTCAATTTACCGGTCGATCTACCTTCCTACCCTCACTTATGGTCATGAGCTTTGGGTAGTGACCGAAAGAACGAGATTGTAGACACAAGTGGCCAAAATGAGTTTTCTCCGCGGGGTGGTGGGTGACTTCTCTCCCTTAGAGATAGGGTGAAAAGCTCTGTCATCTGGGAGGGGCTCGGAGTAGATCTGCTGCTCCTCCACATCAAGAAGAGCCAGTTGAGGTGGCTCGGGCATCTAGTTAAGATGCCTCCTGACACCTCCCTGAGGTTTTTCTGGGCATGCCCTGAGAGAAGACCTTAAAGAAGACCCAGGACACGCTGGTGGGACTATTTCTCGGCTAGCCAGAGAATGCCTCGGATCTATATATTAGTTTTTTATATGAGTGTAGGGAAACTCTTAAGTATTTATCTCTTTTGCTTCTCTATGTGTAAAGAAAACTAGCAAAAAAGTGTTTTTTTGTCACATTGTGTATGATGCAGCCCCTAGAAGGCCTTCAGATTTAGGTTGACATGCAGTATAAGACATTCAGCTTTCCTGCAGATGAGTTGTGATGCCTGGGTTTTTGCAGCCTAACTAGTGCATATATTAAGTGAAGTGAAGCACTTCTCTGTTGTGCTTTGCTCCTTAGTAACTGAGTGAGACAGGGTGTAGGTGTGCAGCTCTAATAGTTCTGGATAAATCACATTTGTAACCGCACACAGTTCTGCAACAATGAGCAGGTTGAGCCATTAACATGCACCCACACCCACACCCACACCCACACCCACACACACACACACACACACACACACACACACACACACACACACGGAACACATACACATACAATATAGTGAGTTAAGGTTCAGTTAAGGCTAGCCAGCACCTGTGAGCTCATGTTGGAGCAATGCAGAGGGTGAGGGGGGGCAGTTAGTTTGCGGTGCTTCTGCATTTGCACATGCATTAGCATTCATGAGGCGATGATGCGTGCGTGCGTGCGTACTTCAAAAAGATGTTTTTTTTCTGTCCCTTTCTGCAAATCACTTGCAGGTAATAAAAGGGAGGAGGGAAAATCATTTTATATAGCAATGGCTCCATGTATGGATTCTGCTGCTGCTGCATTCAGATCATCACAGAAGACAGGGTTCTGTTGCATTATGCTGAGGAGTAACTGTATTGTGTGCATGTATGGCAGCAGATGAGAGGACAGCCACATGATAAAACCTGCTACTACAAAGCAACACAACATGGACGCGACAAAAGCACAGAAATCCCCCCCCCCCCCCCCCCCCCCCCCACACACACACACACACAGGGGCTCCAGAGATCCTAAAGATGCGACACTAGTCACCATTTTCCCTAAAAAGAGGCGGAGAGCAAAACAATGGCTCCAATGATCTGATAGATGCAGAATTCTTGTTTTTTTTAAATCGTCTAAATAAATTAACACCATGCAGTAAACAATGCAGAGGAAACGTGTCACCAGCGGTGCCTCTAAGTTCATTCTAACGCTTATAATAAATCCTGCAGTCAGCGCGCGCGAGAATGCTGCAACGAAAACCCTCATTAGCCAGTTTTCCTCAAATGTGACTGGCGTTATGCAGACCTGCAACCACAACACTAATAAATAATAACGAGAAATACCTTTTTGACGTCCTTGTCGGGGTCCTATCGTGATTCCAGCACAAAACGTGTCACCTACATTTTTCATTGTTATTCCAGGTCTGGAGAGTGGAATCGATCAGCCGCAGTGCTCCCAGTACGACTCCAGTACACACACACACATAAATAAATAAATAATAACACACGCTCACACACCAATATAAAACCAGTGAGATAATCCGTCACAGGCTGGTCGAGTCGCAGCGGTGAGGCTGCTCCGAGGCTCCGCGCGCGCGTCGCGGCTGATGCAGCTTCTCTCGGCGCGGCTCTGTTTCGCTCCCTCAGAGCTCCGCCGGGCTCCGTGGACAAGTCATTGATTGGATAATGTGGCGTTTGCCCACGTTCGCATTCATTCCCAAAGTACTGGAAATGACTAACCAATCCTGGAGCGGGTGCGCGTAAATGATGACACCTGATTGGCTGAGTCACAATCAGAAGTGCAGGTTAATTCCCGGTATACGCGCACCTGTGACCCCTTTTACAGTAGCTGTAAATATTAATGCGCTGACCGGAAATCACCGAGTGAAGAACGGACCGTAAAGGGTTTTTAATTTTAATAGAAATATGTCTAAAGTGATAAAGAAAGGGATGGAAAATTAAAAACGCACCGTGTCTCTAATCCTTCAACAGTTTGGGATTAATCTGGCTGGGAACCATATATGTAACATTTTATAGAAGTTCCCCAATTTGCCTGCTTGACACTCAGAATTAAGGGGTTGGATTGGGGGGTTAAGCCACCAAAAGGTTCCCGAGCGCGGCTGTGTCTGCAGCTCACCGCTCCCCCAGGGGACGGGTCAAATACGGAGAACAAATTTCGCACACACATCAGTGTGTGTGACAACTGATGGGACTTTAACTTTAAATGAACCATCTGACTCACAAACTTTAACCGATCAGGGCAGACCAGGGCAGTTACTGATGATGTGTCAAATTTAGGCAAATAATAGAAACAATTACTTGACCAGAAATTTGACCGGTTCAAACTGATGAGAATCTTTGATAAAACTCAAAGGTTAGGACACAAAGCTCACCGCATGGTTTTTGTCCCTGCCTGGGCAAGGAATGATGAGCAATGTTCGGTTTTCTATTTTCATCAGGCCCTAGTGCCCTTGAGCAATACCCTCAGACCCCCTGGGAGTAGTAAGACTGCTCACAGCTCTGGGTATTTCCAGCTTCCTTTGTCTGTGTGTGTGTGCGCGTGCGTGTGCGTGCATGTGTGTTTGTGTTTGGTGGATTAAATGGAGAAATAATCTGTTTGTGCAATAACTTAAATAAAAGCTTGCTTGCAATAATATAGATTCTTCTTAACCCTTCAGGCCCTAGGCCTTTTTTCTTTGGGCCCTGGCGCCTCCTAACTGGGGGCCTTTGTAGTTTCATGTTCCAAGCGTCAGCCATGGTTTGCATTCCCCGAGCACAACAGCTACAATCAAAACAGTTTAGATTGTAAACAAAGCAATTTTTGGTATTTGATGCATTTAAGATAAAATAATACTTGAACTTTATTTTAGAAGAGCTGTCCTGTGTGAACGTGCTGACAGGATGGAAGTTGTGAGTTCAAATTCCATTTAGGACATTTAGTCAATTGTTTTATTTATTCCAGGGGTCCTCAACTAAATTTGTTCAAGGGTTTTTTCCCAGCAGACACCACTGAAGGTCAGATGCTCTTCTAAAATACAGTTCAAATATCATTGTATCTTACTTTATTACAATTTAAAATGGCCTTGTTTCCCATCTGGGCTGTTTGGTTGTGTTTTAGTGGTGTTTGGAGAATGTGGACGGTTGTAGATGTTTGGGGCCTGAAACTGTAGAGGCCCCCAATTGGGGGGGCGTTAGGGTTAATCAGTAGTTTTAGCAATTCTCGAAACGCTCATGATTTTGATTCTCAGCTAAAAACAGTGAAAGAATGGATGGTAGGAAGTTTAAAACATGACAGACCGTTTCATAGGAATAATTCAACTTTTTATTCAACTAATTGAGGAACAAATGTAAAAATTCATCATGTTCTTCAAATGCTCGAGATTTGTAAAGCTATGGTCAAATCAATGCATCACGTGATTTGAATCTCTAAGTTCAATAGCAGCTTGATGAATGGGCAGAAACAGGGAGGATGGAGCACAGAAGCGCCATGTGATAATGCGGTGCCTTCAGTTACCATGACAACCACATCCTCTACATCAAACATGTTAATTATGAGTTTTTGTGAGGAAATTAGTGAAGTCTTGTTTCCCGTTCTTGGTCTGGCCTCTGGAGTTTGGCTTTTTCATTTTTTTTTCATACCTCTCTTGCTCATTGCTGACTCCACCCACAAGCGTGTAGATACCGGTATAATATGCAAATCTCTACAACACTCTGCCTCAAGCCACTGGCTTATATTCTGTAGCAACGGAATGGTGCTCCTAATGCAAATGCACAAAAAAAATGGAGGTTTTGATCAAACTGACAAGACACAAAATGACATTTGAGAGTCAAATGATGTGAGCAGATATTGAATGAGTCGTTAAATCCTGCACCGAGGAGGGTTTGAATATTATCAGCAGCATGCAGGTCAGTTTTAAGCTCACGGGCATGATGAGGGAAAATTACTGGTTAAGTGAGTGACCGCGCAGGTCAGCAGTCAGCAAACAAAGCCGAGCGTTTTGTGTCTTTGTGTGTCGGCGCCTTTAACACTTAGACATCAAAGTTAAGTGGTTTCTTCATTTCCTGGTCGTTTTCTCATCACATCCCTGGCTTGAATGGGAACATGTTGACTGTGATAAAGTCTGGTGATGACACAGATTTTAATTTAGTGTGCATTTTTATTTTTACATTGTCTTGAGGAGGCAACAGATCCAGGAGCCTAAACATCTGTTTCCCTAAAGCAGTTTCACACAGCAGGATACTAAAATTGTTGGATGATTTTTAAAACATTACAACAAAAAACATTACAAATCCCACACACGAGGCAAACAGCACGTATAAAACAGATTTGGTCATACAGTGTGCGGTGTTTAGCAACACGGTGAAACCACACACTCGACACAAACCATTTTCATATGCGAGCTTCTTCCCATCAGATGGAAAATCTCATGAAATCTCTCGAGATCAAACGTGACTTTGATGTAAACAAACATGGTGGAGGAGGAGCATGCAGCATGATTTCATCACCTCTGGTTTTGATTGGCAAGTGGAATGCTCATTTGTCCTAAAGACCATGACAATCCAACGTGTTTAATATCTCAGTTGTACAATTGGAGTGTTCCAACGAACTTAAGAGCAGACCAGAGCACTTTCAACATCCTGCACATGGCAGGAATATATGGTAAAATGATTTTTAGAGTCATTATGGCAATCAGACGCATCCTTTAGATTGTCAGAAGAGGAGAATTGGATCAAAAATCTTGCGGCGTCAACCGGGTTTAAGCAACACTCCAGTTTCTCTGAAGCTGTCTCGGGGCAACCTCAGGCCAGAGAAGACATATAATCCTTCCAGTAAGGGTCACCTCTGCAGTTACGCATAACCGGGCAAGTTTCAGAGGTAGACTAGGTGATGAGGAGGCATCCTGGCCAGGTGCCAGATAAAAAAAGCCTTCATCTTATCCCTGAAGATGAGCCTAGACTCTCTAGAAAGGTAATTTCAGATAAATACATCTGCACTTTGAAAACGTTAGGCTCAAAATGTACAGTCGTGGACCCTTAATGAAAGAAAACCCCACCAGAAATAATTTGAATCTGACAAAAGTAATAAAAAAAGTTCTACAAAGTTTAACAAATGAAAATCAGACATTGCTTTTCAACCATGCTTCAATGGATTTATTTTAAAAAATCAAGTCATGCAACAGGCCTGGACAAAAATTATGGTACCTCTAGAAAAGACTGAAAATAATGTGACCAAATGGACATGTTTGTTCTAAGTGTGTCCACTAATTAGCATCACTGGTCAGTGAGTTTGTACATAGGGCTCCAGGTAGTCACTGTGTTGTTTGGTAACATGGTGTGTACCACACTCAACATGGATCAGAGGAAGTGACAAAAAGAGTTGTCAGGAGATTAGAAAAAACGTTAGAGACAAGCATGTTGCTGGTTAAAGCTACAAGCCTCTGATCTGCCTCTCCCAACTGTCTGTAGAGGACTCTGAAGACGTCTGGATATTCGTTGTGTTGGTGTCAGGTTTCCTGCTCTTTGGCCTGAGTGGTTATCTGGCTTACCAGAAAATTAATGAGCTGTCGAGGAGCTCAGGGATGGATTACACCGCGCTGTGAATGCACAGGCTCATATAATTGTCGAAATGAGTGGTAAGCTTGGAACTTTGGCTGAGATTCAGAGTCTGCCACAGAAGGCGGATTCGATCAAGGAGCAAGTTGACGGGACAGCACGGTTGGGAATAGATTAATTTACGTCATTATTGGATTTAGAGGGGTTGAGGACCAACAGAACTTTAAGGCAGAGAGGAAATTATCTGTCTGGCCCCAAAACAAGTTCTTATCTGAATCTGGTGCCCTTGAGCCTGTGAGGCTGAAGTGATTACTCCCCCTCAGAAGAAATGTGGAAGACTGCCATTGCCATGGCAACTCTGTCTCCCTATCCCAGCCTGGGCGGCGGGACTGGGACCAATGAAGGCCGTTGAATCATTCCAAGGTCACCGTGCTCTCTAACCCAATTACCTCCCACCCCTGTCCAAACGGAGGTGACGAGCGCTGCTCATCGTGGCTGCACGCACAGATGTTTGGAGAGTCCTCTACCCTACCTCCCCACCTAGTGGGCACTTATGTTGTGTAATGTCTGAAGTCTGTTGCATTTCTGTCTGAGGTGTTGTTTTGCATAGCAAAGCTGCCCTCCTTGTGGGGGGGTAGCTCTGAAGTGCCTTTTACTCCTCCACCTGACTCAATCCTCATGTAAACCCTCTGATCTCTATTAAGGTAGCGCGACTCGGGTTGCGAATGACCACAGTCACCAATTCTTGTCATGTGTCTATGCCTATGTATGTATGTCTGATCTCAGAATTGTGTGTACTGAAACTCTAATTTCTCTTTGGAATTAATAAAGCATTTTTGAATTTGAATTGAACTGAAGACCATCTCCAAGCAGCTAGATGTTCCTGTGACTACAGTTGCACATATTATTCAGATAATTAAGATCCATGGGACTGTGGCCAACCTCTATGGATGTGGCTGCAGGTTGAAAATTGATGACAAATTAACAAGATGGATAATCTGAACAATAAAAAAGAGCCCAGAAAAACTTCTAAAGAGATCCAAAGTGAACTTCAAGCCCAAATAACAGATCAAAAACAAACATATCAGCTTTATAAGTCATTAGCTGTATTTCAGAAATTTGACAGAATCAATCAATCAGTCAATCAAATTTTAGTTGTATAGCACCTTCTACAACA